AGTGTGTTCCTAGGTGCCTCATTATCTACCAAATGAAGCATTTGCACAAGAAATAATTATCATATCAGAATTCACTGATGAAAATATGGTAAGAAAATAAACATAAAACAAATAACATGTCAGAGGGTTAGTCGTCAATATTTTCCTTCTAAGACACTTTTCTTCAATGGCATTTCTGGCACAGATTAGTGAGATATAGGTTAGGTTACGTGAGGTTTGCTTGGCTGGTTAGGTTAGATTCAAAACAGTTTTTCCAACAGTTTTTTATGTGTTTTTAACACCTTTTTCCTTGATTTCTAGAGCAAATCTCTAAATTCTGAAATGGGAGGGTGGGAGCTTATCTCAGACACTATTGATTTTGACCATATATGAAGGTCAAATTCGTTCATAACACATCAAAAACCATCGGGAAAACATAGTTTCACTTTCAACTTCGTTTAGTGGCACTAAGTCAATATTTACCCTTTCCTGAACATCCCGGATGAACCCCCTATGGCACAAGGGCCTAATTCAAGGGCATAAACATCAAATTTTAATATAACAGGAGGGGGGGGGGTCCTTCCCCCAGCTAGGAAGTTAGGTAAGGTAGGTTTCTTTGGTTAATTAATACAGGTTCTATTAGGTTTTAGTTAATGTCGCCTATTTTATAATGAAAAGTTTCCAAGCACAACTGATATATGGTTAGGTTTGTTTATAGCTACACCACGATTGACTCACTCTGAAATAAATGCCAAATGCTGCCAGAGTCACAGTCAAATATACGGTAGGTTCTGTGAATTGTCAGTTTCATTTGAATAGTCAATCAGAGGGGTACTGGACAACTCATACTCAAGCAAATAGTACCCATCAGAACATGTCAACTCGTACCCAACTATGAGATAACTCGTACCCAATTTACGAGACAGTTCATACCCACATACTGTATATGGGGCACTCCGCATTACAAGGGGGTAAAGCGCCACCCTGGTTGAAAGTTCAAAAATAGGGTGTCAATTTGCCTCAAACCGGGAGCTACGTATCTGGCTGTGCGCTCAGTAAGTAAAGGTGGTCACATCCCGTTCAGAGAGAAAGGAGCACTAGCCAATGACAGCGGGCATCCCGCGGATCATAACCCCTGAGTCAGCCAATCACAATGGATTTCCCTTGCTACGTCACAGCTCCTCGGCCAATCCATGCGCCCAGATGCTGTCTCCCTGTTAGGCGGTTCAGTGTTTCTACTGCTATTTTGGATAACTTTTCGGCGTAACATTGACGTTATTCATGTTCCACGGGTGTGAGAAGTGCTACACAATGTCTGGCCGATTTTAGAGCAAGACTCGAGTGAAGCCAGGCCTTCTGGTGTTGGTTCAGGAGCCCTAAATCCTGAGTGTGTGTCTAGTGACGACAATGCTCACGTGGACACCCCAGCCATGCTTGGTGATAGTAAGTTTGGTGGTGATTATGGTGATGCAAGTGCTACTGGCAATGGTGATGGCCATTAAAGTTATACGCACTCCTCAGGATTTACATAACTTCAATTTACTTCGACCATCAGGGATAATAAAACAAAGGAACTAAACAAAGTAAGATTGTAATACTATTATCATAATACTGTTTTTACCCAAGATAATGCAAACTTTCTCCGCCTTGGTATTCGTATGTTAATTACGTTGGGGGTGGGGAGGTTAATGGTGGGGGGGATGAGTGTAGTGGTGTTAAAATATTATTACACACTATTATACTTAACAATATTATAAATCTTTGGCTAATAACAGGGACGGAAAGATAAATACTGATAGATAAATGAGTTTTTTATCATTATTGATTTTGTTTGGGGGGGTTATGGGGGTGGGCGTAAGACGAGTGCTGTTTTTAGTGATGATTAACTTGTTTTACAGAATTAGCCCACAATAATAGGAAAAATTTTGCAGAAAAATGCGATTATTGTTGGTTTGAAGATCAAACAACCATACATGATGGGTAGTTATTCTCATTCAACTCGCGATAAAATAATAACTATTCACAGTACTAACTTCCTGTTTTCACTATTTACTAGGAGAGGGATTGAGCTGCACGATTACAAAAATGAACCCTCTAACTTAAAAAACATCAAAGTTATGGTTGTTTGAACTTCAAAAAACTTTCAACACGTTTTTCTCCAAAGAACAACAAAGTTATGGTTGTTTGAACTTCGAAAAACTTTAAACACGTTTTTCTCCGCTTTTTTTAATTTGGCACTTCACCCCCTTGTAATACGGAGCAACTTTTATATATATATATATATATATATATATATATATATATATATATATATATATATATATATATATATATATATATATATATATATATATATATATATATATATATATATATATATATATATACAAGCAAATCACTGTAGGTGCGCGTGATTTAGGTACAGTGACCCCTCGTTTAACAAACACCTCGGTTAACGTAATTTCGATTAACGAACTGCCTTCCATAAGGATCTTCAATTTGGTTAACGAAAAAAATTTTGCTTAACGAACTTCTTACGAACCGACCTCAACATGTTTTCGCTTGCACTGACCGGGCAACCAGCTTTAGTATCAGTCCGCCAATACATTAATCGGTTCTAGGGCTTAAATTCCTTACTGTTTTAGTAAATATCAAGAAGTTTATACTATTCAATAATTTTAAAAGTTTAATATTCAATTTTTTTGTCATTTTAGCAATTATTTAACATAATTGAAGGTAAAGTGACTAGTTTAATGAGTGGCATCCAGCCTCTTAACACAGCAAACAGGAGTTAGTCTCTCTCTGTTTTCACAGGAGGTAACATCTTGCTTGAGACTCTCTTCAACTAAACGCTTTTTTTCTGTGTTTCCAAGCAAATTATTGGTCATTTTGAAATATATTTTACATATTGACAATAAATAATGCAGTGCAGTGTTGATTTAAAGAAAATAATCTTGAATTACACCAAGAGAGCTAAAATTTTATGGGTGAAATGGCGCCATGGGGTGACTTCTCTTCCACCCCAATGCCTTCTCTTCTTCCTTCTCCTCCACCCCCATTCTAAATCCCATCATCATCATCATCATCATCATCCAGGAGCCTTCTACATACACACCTCAAAGTAAGTGAACTTTTCTACCATTTTTGTTGAATTTAGGAAATTTTCAGTGAGCTGGAACCAATTACTGTACCCAAAAACCCATTGAAACAATGGTTTCGGTTAACGAACTTTTCGGTTAACGAACGACCTTCTGGAACTGATTGAGTTCGTTAACAGAGGGGTCACTGTATATGCTGATAACCACAAGGAAAGAAGAAAACACGAAGTTCCCAAGCGCTTTCGTGTAATTCACATCTTCAGGGGTGAGTACAGACACTCACCCCTGAAGATGTGAATTACAAAGCATATATATATATATATATATATATATATATATATATATATATATATATATATATATATATATATATATATATATATATATATATATATATATATATATATATATATATATATGAAAAAGGGAAACAATGGAGCACCTTAGCTTTCGTCTTTATTTAATGACATCTTCAGAGGCAACTGAATATACAGGACCGACAGAGGTTTAAAAACACAGGTTACCTTAAAACACATCAGGTCTGGTCAATAACATGACATCCACTAATCCACACACCACCACCACCGCAACCATAAAAGGAGCTTATAAGAATGGGCGACATAACTAGTCATGTCAAGTCAGGTCAAGAATATGCGATCCACTAATCATCAATCCTACATCAACCTCAAATGCTTTCAAAGTATTTTTAACCTTGGGCTACTGACAAATAAATTTAAGTAACATATTATCAGTTTTGTATTGACCATCATGAAGGATTATAGAATTCAATTCCCTAATCAAATTTGCTTCAACCTGAAGTATTTCTGTGACTCATGATGATTTATACACGTTTAAAATGTTTTCCCAATATATGGGATGATTATTGTTCCTTGTATGAACGAAAAATGCACTGCTTTCACATGCTGTTCTAATATTATACCTGTGCTGTTTTATTATGAGAAGCAATGCTTTCCCAGTCTTGTTTCTGTGTGGTCGTGACTTTTGAAACAAATCTATCCAGAGTATCATTAGCATACAATAACATAATTAATTGTATATGTGTTGGCCAATATTCTCACTCTTAGTTCTTTTATATCCTTATTACTACTATATTTAATTCTTGTTGTTGATATGTCAGAGGAAGAAATTCCTGACGATGTGATCATAGATAAAGGTAAAATGCATGGTATATATAGTAATAGGTATACATTATCACTTGAATTGGGTGCAAATAATCTTGTGTACGACTTATCTCGATAGTTGGGTACGAGTTGTCTTGGGTATGAGTTTACTTTTTTTGGGTGCGATTTGTCTTGGGTACGAGATGGCCCTAACCCCAATCAGAGCACACTCACAGTAACATAGCATTAGTAGGAACTTGGCCAGCCACGAAAAAATATCCACTGCCAAATGTACAGTACATGCTTGTATACTAAGAACTTTTTACTTTTATCCTCTTCGCCGCTGATTGGCTCATTAGCCACTTTGGCGGTCGGTCACATCTCTTACGCACTGTTGGCAAGTACTGGGCATGCACTGGTTCCTGAATGTATCTGAACCTGATCCAATGTTGGTCAAGTCTGGTCTTGAAATAGCTCACACTCGGTGCCGCCACAACACTCTCTGGCAGATTGTTCCAAACGTTCACAATTCTCACACCGAAAAAGTTTGCACTCATTGTTTTCTAGACTTGTGGCTCCTTTAACCTTGAGTTGCGACCCCTTGTGGGGCGGGCATCCGCCAGCTCCATGTATGTACAATCAAAGACAAAAGTCGTATCACGGTTTTGTCCAAAGATTAAATATAACTCGTGAAACATTATGAGAGCACTACCACAAGGCAGAACTGTAAGGAATTTGTCACATTCATCATTCTTTATACTGAACCCCAAAGAAACCTTTTAAATGATAGAAACATGCATACCACTGTGCTAAAAACTCCTCAGACATATAGTCAACTTCATCTTCCGAGTCTGCCATGGTAACTCGGTCCACCTGTACACAATGTTTGTTTACATTTAATTCTTTTACGCTCGTTTCCCAATGCACTCCATGACCCACACCAGGGCCTGGGGAGAATATAATAATAATAATAATAATAATAATAATAATAATAATAATAATAGTAATAATAATAATAATGGTAATTTTTCGTTAACCACCACCCATCACCTTTTTACGATTGTATCTCTTGCCATTTAAAAGATCTTGTAGCGTATTGGATGTGGCCAGTTGTCAAATTTCTCTTTGTTAGGTTCACATGCATACGTACATGTAGGAGATCTCGCACTAGGGATAGAGGTAAGATGGGAACTCACAAATGCGTTATATATATATATATATATATATATGTATATATATATATATATATATATATATATATATATATATATATATATATATATATATATATATATATATATATATATTTCATGTAAATCCACAATGAAAACGTGGATAGGATAAATCTTGATAAAATCACACGGGAAAATGGAAACAACGGAGTACCTTAGCTTTCGTCTTTATTCAAGACATCTTCAGAGGCAACTGGATTACATGGACAGAGAGAGGCTTAAATATACAGGGTGACCTAAAAACATGAGGTCAGGTCATAATGATGACATCCACTAATCACCACACCAACACACACGTAGAGGAGCTTAAGAGAAGGGTGGTGACGTGACTAGTCAGGTCAGGTCAAAAATAAGGGACCCACAAAATAACTATTATACATCTAGATCAAAGGTTTTCAAAGCATTTTTAACCTTGGGCCACTGACAAATAAATTTATGTAACATATTATATGAACTGACCATCACTAAGGTTTATTGATTTTAATTCCTTAATCAAACTAGCTTCAACCAGAAGTCTTTCTGTGACACAAGATGATTTGATTTTAATTCTACTAGCTTTTTGTCCCTGCTCAATGGGGTGATTATTATTCCTAACATGAACGAACAGGCACTGCTTTCAGATGCATAAACACTTCCATTTACATTCAAACTTGGGCTATTCCTTATTAACATATTGGTAATGGTTGAGTCATACTTGAAAACAACATTAATATTTAGAAGCTTGAGGGACCGAACTAACGGGACAAATTCATTACGATAGGGCAGAGTCAAAATACAAGTTCCTACACTTAAGAATATTTTGACTCTGCCCTATGTAAAGTACTTGAGAGTATTATCAGAGATACCGCGATGGAATATCTACTACGAAACAACCATTGTAAAGGATTGCCAACACGCTTTTATGCCGGGGCGCTCCTGCTTAACACAATTGCTCAAGATATTGAATATTTGGACCCATATTCTGGAAGGGGTGGTAATATCGACAATATTTACCTAGATTTTGCCAAGGCTTTCGACAGTGTACCCCACGCAAGGCTGAAAATCAAACTGGAAGGGTACGGAATTCGGGAAAATGTCCTAGCGTGATAGATGACTTTCTACATTACCTCAAGCAGTGTGTGGTGATTAATGGCACGAAATCATCATGCGTACCTGTGACAAGCGGGGTACCAAAGGGCAGTGTATTGGGCCCGCTGTTGTTTGTTTGTTTCATAAATGACATGCCTGACGTTGTACACTCCTGAATACAAATGTTTGCCGATGACGCCAAGTTATTTCGGGAAATCAAAAACCAAGCGGACTGTGAAGAGCTGCAGAAGGACCTCTGTGGGCTCCAAGAATGGTCTAAGAAATGGCTGCTGAGATTCAATGTCACGAAGTGTAAGAGGATGCACCTGGGGCGTACCAACGGTAAGGAGGCGTATCATATGTCCCAACGGGATGAAGAAAATGCACTAGTTGAGACTGTGTGTGAGAAGGACCTAGGTGTGTATGTTGACAATGACCTGAAGTTCTCGGGCCATTGCGAGAAGAAGGTGTAGTGGACTTCTCCCCTACAACTGCGTATCCGCATTCCAATGCAACAGTATCCTAGCAACCAAGCGAGCGGCGTCACCAGATGTTACCACCTTCCCTAGCAACGGAACTAAAGACCGGCGACTTTCTCGGGTTTTCCCAACATGACTCATAGAGGACTCACGGCTGCTGGGTATATAAGCTCTGTCTCTCCATTGAGATTCATTCTGGTCTCTCTTCTTGAACAAGCAACACCTCCTCCAGCAAGCTCCACGCTGTCCAGCATTCATTCAACCAGGAGGCCAGCAACAGGCAACATCTTATCTAACGAAGCTCCTGCACATCTACCTCCTTCAACACGCTACTCACCGAACGTCTCTACTGAGCAGCTCCTCACCACACGGCACCTCCAGCACCAGACTGTCTATCATATAACTTATATTATACAAGAAAACCACCTTAGAGTTTCCATCCATCCTGAGTGCTAGACAACATTATACCACGAATTCCTACAAAGGTAAATCAGGCAAATAGATTATTGGGTCTTATAAGAAGGTCGTTCAGATATCTAGACGGTCCATCCCTCGTAACGATCTTCAAGAGTGAAGTGCTTCCCCATCTGGAGTACTGTCACCCCGTTTGGTCCCCGAGATATGCTAAGGACTGTCAGTTGGTTGAAAATGTTCAAAGGAGGGCCACCAGACTGGTGCCTGCCCTTCGGCACCTCAGCTACCCTGAGAGATTGGAGCGCCTGAACTTGCCTGAACGGGCAAGGGGTGACCTAATTGAAGTGTATAAGCATATCAAGGGGCACTACTCAGTCGAGTGTCCTTACTTGGAGCTAGCGGACTCTCGCCCCTCAAGGGGTCACAGCTCAAGATTGAAGAAGCCCGCAAGTCCAGAAAACTGTGAGGGCAAACTTTTCTGGAGTGAGAGTTGTGAACTCTTGGAGCGATCTACCAGAAAGTGTTGTGACGGCACCGAGTGTGAGCTCTTTCAAGACAAGATTTGACCTCCACTGGAGCAGGTTTAGGTACATTCAGGAGCCGGTGCATGCCCAGTACTTGCCAACAGTGCATAACAGAGACGTGACCGATCGCCCAAGCGGTTATCGTGCCGATTATTTGGTGAAGAGGATATAAGAAAAGGAAAACTAATCAGAGATGTGACCGATCGCCCAAGCGGCTAACGAGCCGATCAGTGGTGAAGAGGATAGAAGCAAAAGTACTTACCAACAGTGCGTAACAGAGACGTGACCGATCGCCCAAGCGGTTAACGAGCCGATCGTGGTGAAGAGAATAAAAGTATAAAATATAAGAAGGTCGTTCAGATATCTAGACGGTCCGTCCCTCGTAACGATGTTCAAGAGTGAAGTGCTTCCCCATCTGGAGTACTGTCACGCCGTCTGGTTCCCGAGATATGCTAGGGACTTTCAGTTGGTTGAAAATGTTCAAAAGAGGGCCACCAGACTGGTTCCTGCACTTCGGCACCTCAGCTACCCTGAGAGATTGGAGCGCCTGAACTTGCCTAGCTTATACTACAGACGGGCAAGGGGTGACCTAATTGAGTTGTATAAGCATATCAAGGGGCACTACTCAGTCGAGAGTCCTTACTTGGAGCTGGCGGACGCTCGCCCTACAAGGGGTCACAGCTCTAGATTGAAGAAGCGGCAAGTCCAGAAAACTGTGAGGGCAAACTTTTCGGAGTGAGAGTTGTGAACTCTTGGAACAATCTACCAGAAAGTGTTGCGACGGCACCGAGTGTGAGCTCTTTCAAAACAAGATTTGACCAACACTGGAGCAGGTTCAGGTACATTCAGGAGCCGGTGCATGCCCAGTACTTGCCAACAGTGCGTAACAGAGACGTGACTGATCGCCCAAGCGGTTATCGAGCCGATTATTTGGTGAAGAGGATATAAGAAAAGGAAAACTAATCAGAGATGTGACCGATCGCCCAAGCGGCTAACGAGCCGATCAGTGGTGAAGAGGATAGAAGCAAAAGTACTTACCAACAGTGCGTAACAGAGACGTGACCGATCGCCCAAGCGGTTAACGAGCCGATCAGTGGTGAAGAGAATAAAAGTATAAAATATAAGAAGGTCGTTCAGATATCTAGACGGTCCGTCCCTCGTAACGATGTTCAAGAGTGAAGTGCTTCCCCATCTGGAGTACTGTCACGCCGTCTGGTTCCCGAGATATGCTAGGGACTTTCAGTTGGTTGAAAATGTTCAAAAGAGGGCCACCAGACTGGTTCCTGCACTTCGGCACCTCAGCTACCCTGAGAGATTGGAGCGCCTGAACTTGCCTAGCTTATACTACAGACGGGCAAGGGGTGACCTAATTGAGTTGTATAAGCATATCAAGGGGCACTACTCAGTCGAGAGTCCTTACTTGGAGCTGGCGGACGCTCGCCCTACAAGGGGTCACAGCTCTAGATTGAAGAAGCGGCAAGTCCAGAAAACTGTGAGGGCAAACTTTTCGGAGTGAGAGTTGTGAACTCTTGGAACAATCTACCAGAAAGTGTTGCGACGGCACCGAGTGTGAGCTCTTTCAAGACAAGATTTGACCAACACTGGAGCAGGTTCAGGTACATTCAGGAGCCGGTGCATGCCCAGTACTTGCCAACAGTGCGTAACAGAGACGTGACTGATCGCCCAAGCGGCTAACGAGCCAATCATTTGGCGAAGAGGATAAAAGAAAAGGAAAAGTATTCAGAGATGTGACCGATCGCCCAAGCGGCTAACGAGCCGATCAATTGGAGAAGAGGATAAAGGAAAAGTAATCAGAGATGTGACTGATCTCCCAAGCGGCTAACGAGCCGATCAGTGGCGAAGAGGATAAAAGCAAAAGTACATGCCAACAGTGCGTAACAGAGACGTGACCGATCGCCCATGCGATCGCCCAAGGAAAAGTAATGAGAGACGTGACCGATCGCCCAAGCGGCCAACGAGTCGATCAGTGGTGAAGAGGATAAAATTAAAAAAAATAAAAGTGAGCTGATTTAACTAAAGGCACAGTACTATACTCCCTGGTTGGCCTTTATCACAACCGTGACCACAACTCCGTAAAAAAAAAAAGCTCTGTCATATGGCACTGATTTTGTGGTTGTAGGCCTCCTGACCTGGGCTGCATCTCCAACTCGGTGGAGATTTAGTTTTCACAAATATAATCGCGTCTA